CTTAGTGAATCCATGTTGACTCTTGGTGATTATGTCTTTCTTCTTCTCAATGTTTACCATTCATTTTTTAAGTGTTATATAGTGTAATAAATTGTTAATATATTATTATCAGGGATTCACATCAAATTACCTTCTTTTACAATGAGAGTAATCAGGGAAAATCCATTCTACAGTATAATTGCTTTGATTTGTTTTTAATCTCAATATTTAATCTTATTTTGATTTAAATACTGTTAAAGAAAAGTAAGAATATTATGTTTATTGAAAGGGGACATAAATGGAAAAAGACAGAATGTCTGTGCTGTAGGTAGGCAGATATATTAGCAGAATGAAAGGACGTTTTTAGTAGTTAGAGCTGCCTACCAGTGGACTGCCTTGCAAAACAGGAAGCTCTCCACCCCTAGAAATCTTTAAGGACAGCTATCAGGCCACATTTATGAGGACAGCAGAAACCATCTTGATTTAGGAGGAAGCACTGACTTAAATCAGTGCATCTCAAACTATGGTGAAGAAGCACTTAAAAAAAATTTTTCCACTCTGTGATAAAACAATTAACAAAATACAAACATATAACACATTTAGGTACAAAAATATCACACTTTTAGATGTCATGGCAAGGTCAAATCACTATAAATTTTTCTAAATCAAAGTGATTTTCCAACTTTTTATCTCATGGCACACATAAACTAATTATTAAAATTCTGCGGCACAGCCAAAAATATTTTTTTGCTGACGTGACAAAAATATGTATAATTTTTATTGCTTTACAAAATAACAACAATAATAATAATGCTGGTAATTAGCAACTTTTTTGCTCCAAAGTGACTTTTTTAAAAAGGTCAGGTTCCTAGACTTGTAGATAAGGATTTCTAGTATTAAGAATTAACCAATCAGACACAACCTTATTATGCGACATAACCAATAAAATGCAACTCCATTATATGACCTATATATTTATGGTTCAAGATAGGTCATTCACACTGGATGGCTATTGTTGTGTTGGCTGTTGTCATTTTTTTATTTGACAATCTAAGGGAAAAGAGGTCAGTGCCCCTGACTAAATAGTCAGGTATTGCATGTTTTAAAAAATCTTGTGGCACACTGGTTGAAAATCACTGTTGTAAATGCTTTTTTAAAAAAAATACGCACCTGAGGATATGTTTATTGATTTATAGAGAGAGAGGAAGGGAGAGAGAGAGAAAAAAAAAACAAAACTGATCGACGTGAGAGGGAAACATCAATCGGTTGCTTCCTATACACACCTGGACCAGGGATCGAACCTGCAACCTAGTAATGTGCTGTGACCGGGGATGGAAACCCAATCCTTTGGCGTACAGGACAGCTCTCCAACAAACTGAGCCACCCAGCCAGGGCCTAAGTCCTTACTTTTGATTTCTGTTTTTAGCTTGGTACACACAGGTTACAAAGTATGTCCTGGCATAAATAGGTGAACTACACTTTCAATGGATTACATAGCCTATAAGAGATCTCTGAAGTTCTACAATTTTTAGACTGAAATAGTCTGTCCTCTTTTCTATAGTCATTGGGCATTATATCAAACTACTCATTTCATAACAACAAAACTCTTCAGCAATTAAAAAGCATAAACTAAAAGATATTAGCCTAAAAGCACTAGATCTGAATTTTTTTTTACTGCATTAGGCTTTTACTTCATTAAATTGAAATACCACAATTTCGTTTTTTTACCAAAACATATATGAATCCTCATTTAAAACTTCTTGTAAAAAATTTTATTTTTGGCCATTTCTCACACTTAATTATCTAGTGTCACTTTCTTTGCACAAGCTGGTAATGAAATATGCAAAGAATCATAGTTGAACACAGATATAAGTTCTAACTTTCTCTTACCAGCAGGTAGCAAAACCAACAGAAAAGTAACTTGGAGGTGGGGGAAGGGCGAAGGTGGTGGAACACCTTAATTTCAGAAGCACTGGGTAGAGGATTTAAGTTTTTGCAGTCACCTATAACACTCAGTGCTGATTTGGCCAAAGCAACCATGGTGAAAAATTATAAAAAGAGGAGGCAAAATTAAGAGTTGCCCATTATCATTGACCTACAGGATAGTATGCTATATGAAATAACAGAGAAAGAGACAAATACCATACTTTTCACTTATATGTTAAATGTAAAGAACAAAGTAAACAAACAAATAAAACAGGAACAAACTTAGATACAGAGAACAAAGTGATTGTTGCCAGATAGTGGGAGGGAGGCTAAGGAGCTGAATGAAAAAGTGTAGGGATTAAGAAGTACAAATTGGCAGTTAGAAAACAGTCACAGGATATAAAGTACAGCATGGGAAATAGAGTCAACAATATTGTAATAACTATGTACAGTGCCAGGTAGGTACTAGAATTGTCAGGAGGACCACTTCATAAGTTATATAAATGTTTAACCACTATGCTGTATACCTGAAACTAATATATATTGAATGTCAACTGCATTTGTAAAATTTAAAACAATTTTTAAAAATGTTGGCCATCCTTATACTTCCCCAAATACTCTTGGCTTTCTGTCCAAGGAAAATCAGACATTATTTGTTAAAAATTGGTTATCTTTGTCCCATTAAAAATAAAACAAAATAAAACAATCTTCCTTTTCAAGAGACAATTTACAGATTTATAAGCTATCATCTCCCAACTCTATCATACATGAGTACTTTCCCTACAGTAGTTCCAATATTCCTTAATTCACCATACTTTTACTAGAGCAGGAATTCTTAAGTATGAGTATACAAGTAGATTTTAGGAAGTTTGTGAACTCTTTGAAAATCCAAATATTTTAAAATTTTGAGTGAATGAGCAATTAATTATATGGACAAAACGTCCAGAGTTGCTAACACATTCTCTGAGGGAACAATAATCCTTAAAGGTTAAAAGCATTTTTATTAAATTAAAAAATGTGATCTGAATAGAAATACAGGGTACAGTTTCTTTATTAAATAGGCATAAAAAGATATTACATTATATCATATATAATCAAAAAGGGCTTTAGAAATAAATCCCTTCATTTTATAGATGATAAAATTGACATTTGGAGAGGTTAAGGAGAGTGTTCGGGCCCTTGCTAATTAGAAGACAGGAGCCAGAGAGAATTGCTGGCCTCCTGCTTCCAGGCCCACCCCCACGTCCTGCTACCCGCACAGGGACAGACAGGAGGGTATTAGTAAGCATACTACCCGCAGTCAACAATCCACCTCGGGTAAGTATGCCAGCTCAGAGTAAATCAGGTTATTAATTATTTAAACACTGCTGGCTCATAAGATATAGAAACATTTTCTTTTTTTACTGAAGATATCTAAAAATACATATTCTCTTAGATACGTTTTAGAACTCGCTTCCTTGCCAGCAGGCACAATCAATAACCTGTCAGTCATCTAAAAGACAAGAGTACTTGATCCTACTGCAATCAATAAAAGAAGGGCATACACTAGACCTGGAAGGGACAGAGGATGTTTAGGAGACAGAAAGCTTCAAGGAGGCACTTAAACACATTTCTTTCTGAGGCAATTACTCTGAAAGCCCACAATACAAAGTTAATTAGTGAGTGTATCTTTCAGTTAACTGTTGAAGCTGTTCAGAAATTTTTAGAAAAAACTCATTTAAAGGTTGATTCTCTTGTTTATTCACACTAAAAAACAGGAAGTTCAAAAAACCAAAGGAGATAATGGTTAGTAAAAAGAATTTTTATATTAAGTGAGAATGCTGAAAAATGTCTTATTTTGGTGTCAGTGAAAATGGGTATGAATTCAAATTTTGTTTTTAATATTTTTCAAAATAATTATAAAACAAAAGCCTATAAATAAGAATCCAAGGAACACTTCCCTCTCCTCCCCCCAACCCCCAACTTCACTTCTGAAATACAGTGCAACTTTCTACCATCTGTTATTGTATAGCAGAAACAATAGTGAACATATGGGCTTTCTCTCTCAAACAGCTGTAGTGTAGTTAAAGTTATAATAATTGTCTTTCTGTAAGATAAATTTCATTAAAAACCTGGCCAGTTAAAAATAAATGACTAAGCCTCAAAGCCTTCCAGAATAACATTAAGACATTCAAAATCTTCTAGGACGTATTACATTCAGAGATTTGGAGGATATCCTCTAAATCTTGTGCTTTTCTATTTAAGGTTAAAAAATATAATTCATGATGCACAAATCAGGTTGTTTTTTTTTTGTACTGTTGTTCAGTTGCAGTGGTTCCACCTTTTTCCCCATTGCTCACCCCTACCCTGCCCCCGCCACAGTTAATCCCCCCTCATTGTCCATACCCATGAGTCTTCTTTTCCTGTTCCTTGGCTTGCCCCTCCCCCACCCCTTCCCTGGTCACTGTCAGTTTGTTCTTTATTTGCAAATCTATGATTCTATTTTGTTCATTCGTTCATTTTGTTGATTAGGTTCTGCTTATAGGTGAGATCATATGGTATTTGTCTTTCACCACCTGGCTTACTTCACTTAACATAATGCTCTCCAGTTCCATCCATGCTGTTGCAAAGGGTAGGAGTTCCTTCTTTCTTTCTGCTGCATAGTATTCCATTGTGCAAATGTATCACAGTTTTTTGATCCATTGATTTGCTGATGGGCACTTAGGCTGTTTCCAGCCCATGGCTATTGTGAATAACGCTGCTCTGAACATTGGGGTGCAAAGGTTCTTTTGAACTGGTGATTCAGGATTCTTAGGGTATAGTCCCCACAGTGGGATTGCAGTTTCTCATTAAAAAATCTAGCAACCTCAAATAAGGCTGAGGTACTCCTATAAAAATCAGTAATTAAGTTCTTAGAAGCTGATAATATAAATCTACCACTTCTGCAGGTCACTGAACTTCAACCTAAAGCCTCATTTATTATACAAAAAAAATCACAATACATTGGCACATAAACTTTCATTTCAACTATAAATCATTTATGAGTTTAAGTAAACTGAAAGGAATTCAGAGCAGATTCTGATCCACATATTATGAAAAATAAGAATTTTATTTACCTTTATCTGGGTGATTCAAAATCATGATTCTTCTGTGAGCTGTTCTAATCTTGGCCTTGCTAGCAGACGGGCTGTAAAAAGAAATTAAAGAGCTTATAATAAATTATATCAAATGCAGATTATAAATAAATGGGTTAAATGGGTTTCAAGTAATTAAAAACTAATGAGAATTTCACCATCTTGTGGATAAATATGAAATTACAGCCTGTCATTTAATTCCAGTAACCATCAAAATGAATCATTGAGTCAATGCTACATGTATTTTTCTTCAGTCCTTTGTAATATCAGTCTTTATTTTCAATCAATTTAAAAAATAAAACAACACAGAGGGTAGGGGAGTCATAGTCTATAGATTATACTGTAAGTTTAAAAACTTATGCTTCAAATTGGGGGAAAAAGTGATATACGGAGTGTCACAGACAGATATTTGGATTCCAGAGCTACTCCACTGCTGGATTTCAATCCCATTGCCATGAAGAATGGGGTAACCTTTGTCAATTTAACCTCCCTGTGCTTCAGTTTCCCCATTATAAGCAACAGTTAGGAAAAACATATTCCTAACTGAGCAACTGTATGCCTTAAATTAGTTAATGCCAACGAAGTGCTACCAGTACCTGCTGTGTAACCAGTGTTCCCTAGTGGTTAGCTTCATTATAATTATTATGTTTCAATACAACATCTTAATGTTTCATAGCTTATAACTTATTTAAGTTTGTGAGAACCCTATGGAAAAAGCTCGGCTGCTAGAATCTATGCTCTAAACAAAAATTTTAAAAAGTTAAATAAAGCTACAACTGTTTTGGTAAACCCTAATTTATCTAGTATTAAAAATGTTTCTCAGTACATTTCCTAGGCAAAAAAAAATATAACACTAACAACAACAAAATCTTAGTATTGCTACTTAGACCTTATTTAAGGTACTGAGCTTATCTGGGCCTCAAATGGATATAATAGTACCTGACAAAGTATGGAGTAGTTTGTGAAGCTCACAATAATTTAATTTGTATGGATGATTCACAATGTACTGGGTAAAAGCTGGTACTTTTAGAGATATTTAGATATAGGTTCAAAATCTTTATTCTACCACTCATTAGACATACAATTGTTTTGCATATTTAAACTCCAAGTTACAATTTCCTTATATGTAAATTGCAAATATTAAAGCAACTTCCCAGGATTATTTTAAGGATAAATTACATAATATAAGTAAAAAAATTAATATGACTAACATACAGTTAGTGTTCAGAAAATTGTAGTTACTGTACTTAAAGATGCTAATAAAAATATATACTTTCTACTTTTAAAATGGAGTATAAATAACTTAATTTAACATTCCTGGAATGACTCAAAGCATTAGCACGACTGTTAACTAAATACAATTAAATGGTTATGGTCTGCAGAGGTTTGCTTGCCCTTCTATTAAATGGTCCAACAATATGATTCATTTACGTTTTCTCATCTGTTTTGAACATTGCCTCCCTCACCATCAGTTGTCAATCCTCAATGCTGCCAATGTTTCGGTCCATTGCCAGTTACTTGCTACTTCTAATCTCTGAGATTAAATGACCATACATATTAAAATGCACTATCAGTTGCTGAATAAACATGGAAAATATTTTTCTATGAATAAAATAAATATGTCCTGAGTTAAAGAAGAAATCAAAAGAGAAATCAAAATTACCTTGTGACCAGGGAAAATGGGACTACAACAGCAAAACTTATGATACAGCTAAAGCAGTTCTAAGAGGAAAGTTTATAGCAATAAACTACAACATTAAGAAACCATAAACGACCCCGAATAGCCGCAGCAATTTTGAGAAAGAAACACAAAGTAGGAGGGATCACAATACCGGACATCAAACTCTACTACAAAGCCACCATACTCAAAACAATCTGGTACTGGCACAAGAACAGACCCATAGACCAGTGGAACAGAATAGAAAGCCCAGAAATAAGCCCAGGTCTCTATGGACATCTAATATTCGACAAAGGGGGCAGAAGCATAAAATGGATCAATAACAGCCTCTTCAACAAATGGTGTTGGGAGAGCTGGACGGCTACATGCAAAAAATTGAAATTGGATCATCAGCTGACACCATACACAAAAATAAACTCAAGATGGATAAAAGACTTAAATATAAGTCGCAACACCATCAAAGTCCTCGAGGAGAACATTGGCAGGAAACTCTCAGATATCCCACGCAGCAATTTTTTCACTGATATGTCTCCTAAAGCAAGGGACATAAAGGAAAGAATAAACAAGTGGGACTTCATCAAAATAAGAAGCTTCTGCATGGCAAAAGAAAACATCAGCAAAATGAAAAGGGAGCCAACCCTATGGGAAAATATATTTGCTAATGATACATCAGATAGAGGTTTGGTCTCCAAGATATATAAAGAACTCACTCGACTCTACTCCGAGAAGACAAACGATCCAATCAAAAAATGGGCAAAGGACCTGGGCAGATGCTTTTCTAAGGAGGAGATACAGAGGGCCCAGAGGCATTTGAAAGGATGCTCAGCATCACTAGCCATCAGAGAAAGGCAGATCAAAACCACCATGAGGTACCACCTCACACCGGTCAGAATGGCCATCATAAACAGATCCACAAACAACAGGTGCTGGCGAGGCTGTGGAGAAAAGGGAACCCTAGTCCACTGTTGGTGGGAATGCAGGCTGGTGCAGCCACTATGGAAAGCAGTGTGGAATTTCCTCAGAAAGCTGAAAATGGAACTGCCTTCTGATCCAGTGATTCCACTGCTGGGACTATACCCTGAGAACACCAAAACGCCAATACAAAAGAACCTATGCACCCCAATGTTCATAGCAGCACAATTTACAATAGCCAAGTGTTGGAAGCAACCTAAATGCCCATCAGTAGATGATTGGATCAAAAAGTTATGGTACATATATACAATGGAATACTACGCAGCAGAAAGAAAAAAAGAAGTACCAAACTTTGCGACAGCATGGATGGAACTGGAGAGCATCATGCTAAGCGAAATAAGCCAGGGGACGAAAGACAAATACCATATGATCTCACCTATAAGCGGAACCTAATCAACAATACAAAGATGCAAGGAAAATATGACCAGCAACACTGAAAGGAAAAGAAATCAACAGAGACAAGAGGGAAGGGGGGGCAGGGAAAGGGAAGGGAAGGGGAAAGTCAAGGAACATATAGCAAGGACTCATGGACAAAACCAAAGGGGAAGAGCTGAGGGAGGGAAGGTGGGAGGGGGCAAGGGAAAGAGGTGGGGGGGAGGCAGAGACAAATGTATTTAAAAAGTAAATAAATTTAAAAAATAAATAAATAAATAAAAAAGAAATTAAAAAAGAAAAAAGAAAAAAGAAAGAGCTCACATAACCTAACTTTACACCTCAGGGAACTAGAGGAAAAAAACCCCTGGAAAAAAACCCCACTAAGTCCAAGGTTAGTAGAAAGAAGGAAATAACAAATATCAGAGCGAAAATAAATGAAATAGAGACTAAAGAGACAATAGAAAAGGCTGGTAAAATTAAGAACTACTTTATTGAAAAGATGAAATAAACCATTAGCTAGACTCACCAAGAAAAAAAAGGACTTGAATAAATAAAGTCAGAAATATTAAAGTAATACCACAGAAATACAAAGGATCATACTACTATGAAGAATTATATACCAAAAAATTGGAAAATCTAAAAAAATTGAAATAATTCCTAGAAACTAACAACCTACCAAGACCAAATCATGAATAAATAGAACTTCAGCACAGACCAAGTACTAGTAATGCAATTAAATTAGTAATTAAGAACCTCCCAACATGGGATGCAAGATTGTTTCAATATCCACAAATCAACATGATACACCACATAAACAAAATGAAGCATAAAAATAATATGAACATATTGATACATGCAGAAAAAGCATTTGACATAATCCATCATTGATTTATGATGAAAATTATTAGCAAAGTGAGAATTGAGGAAACATAATTGAACATAATAAAGGCCATATATGACAAACCCACAGCAAACTCTTTTGTTTAACATACTGGAAGTATTGCTAGTCCTAGCCATATCAATCAAATAAGAAAAGTTAATAGAACCATTGACATGGTGGTGGAGTCCAAGCCCATGTGCATGGATATCCCGGAGTATGCACCCTTGGATGGAGAAGGCAGCCAGGGATGTCAGGCCTGCCCAAAGTTTTTAGACAGCAGACTGCAGGGCCCTGCCCTAGGCTTTGGAGGAGACACGTGGGCCTGACTTGCCCAGATGCAGGTCTGCTGGTGTTCTGTCATCGACAAGGGCACTTCTGGCTGAGTTGGGTGTCTCAGGTCTGTCCTCAGCCAGTTCAGTCTTCCTGAGGGGCTCTCTGCTCTAGTCTTCAGACACCACTTAGAAGCCCAGTTCCCTCAGCCAATTCAAGCTTTGCTCTATTCCAAAGAGAAATACTGTGTGAGGTCAGAACCAGGAAAATCTACTGTGCCGGTACCCAAAGAACTGTCCTTTGTCTAGGTCCCCAGTCTATGGGATTCTGTTGTACAGACCATTTGAATCACAACAGCCCTCCATGGTGTGCCTTCTAGTATTCGCACTCTGCTGTAACCTACTCCCCCACAAGGAGTCTGAGCTGGCCTGACTCCTTGTAACCCACAGGATTCAACCATCTCAGGCTACCCTGCTGGGGAGCCCTACAAGAAACCTCACATGGCCAGGGACAGACAGCCTGCTGACCTAGCGCCCCAGTCAGGCATCCATGATCCTAGCACAGCCTCCATCTTACTTCAACCACGTAAGAAACCCAAGCAAGACCAACAGACGGACCTCCGAGCTGAGCCCAACTGATCCAGAGCCAGGAGAGAGAATAAAATAGTGATTGTTTGACACCACTAAAAAGAAAAAAGAAAAAAAAAAAGGAAAGAAAGAAAAATAAATAAAATGCATCCTAATTGGAAAGAAATGTCACTTGCATCATGTCATTTGCAGTTGATATAATACAAATACAACATATAAAGAACCCTAAAGGTTCCACTGAAACACTATTAGAATTAAAAAATGAATTCAGTAAAGTAGCAGGATAGAATA